CTGGATATGAGTCAGTAGCATGCCCTTGTTGCCAAGAAGGCTAATGGCATATTGGGCTGCATTAGTAGGAGCATTGCCACCAGATCAAGGGAAGTGATTATTCCCCTCTATTCGGCACTGGTGAGACCACATCTGGAGTATTGCGTCCAGTTTTGGGCCCCCCACTAAAGAAAGGATGTGGACAAATTGGAGAGAGTCCAGCGGAGGGCAACAAAAATGATTAGGTGGCTGGGGCACATGACTTATGAGGAGAGGTTGCAGGACCTGGGCTTATTTAGTCTCAGAAGAGAAGAGTGAGGGGGGATTTGATAGCAGCCTCCAACTACCTGAAGGGGGGGTTCCAAAGAGGATGGAGCTCGGCTGTTCTCAGTGGTGGCAAATGACAGAACAAGGAGCAATGGTCTCAAGTTGCAGTGGGGGCAGTCTAGGTTGGATATTAAGAAAAACTATATCACTAGGAGAGTGGTGAAGCACTGGAATGCGTTACCTAGGGAGGTGGTGGAATCTCTATCCTTAGAGGCTTTTAAGGCCTAGCTTGACAAAGCCCTGGCTGGGATGATTTAGTTGGTGTAGGTCCTGCTTTGAGCAGGAGATGGGACTAGATGACCTCCTGAGATCTCTTCCAACCCTAATCTTCTATGAAACTGGAGTATATTAAAGCATACTCATGAAACGTTAGCGCACATTAGCAGGATGCACATAGACAGAGTTGTGCAGGGTAGATTGCACACTCCAGCTTGCCAATAACTCAATGTTCATGTAGACAAGCCTTTAATGTATGTTTGCTTTTGCTGTCAGATGTCCCTGAAGGGTTAAACTGTAAATTCATAGCACCCTCACCGCCAATGTTCTGAGAAAGGGTGTGCTTAACCTACGAGGGAATCTAGGGCAGAGGTCATCGCTAGTCCTGGGGGCCGAGGACATCTGGTCTATGTGGTTCCATTTCCATTAAAGGGTAACAGACGAGCGCCTGTGCCCAGGAAATGTACCTGCTGCAGCCTGCTAAGAGCCAGGGAAGCTTAAAGCATGTGAGTTCCGTGGACTGGGAGCCAACACAGCAGCCTGGTGAGGGTGCCCACTGTCACACACACAGCCCTCAGTAAAGCACCGGAAGGGGGTGCTTTACTGAGGGCTGTGTGTGTGACAGTGGGCACCGTGCATGCTGAGACAGTTGAGCAGGCTACAGTGAAACCCATCTCCCATCTGTTGTGTGGGCAAGAGCCACACTGACGTAAATTGAGCAAGACCAAGCCAGAATCAGTGGCATGGAACTGGGGAGAAGTTTTCTAAAGCCCCCCCCCAGCTTTCCCCTCAGCATGGGACCCCAATTTCCACAGCTCATGGAAGAAGCAGGAAAGTTTCTCTTGCACCTAATATTAGGTGAAAGCAAGGTTGTCCCATAGCAACTAGGAGGAAGAAATTCCTGCTCCCAGCCAGCATGTAGGCAAAGTCTGGTGTGGGATGGTTGAGAAAGCTTCACTCCCCTTTCCAACAAGCTGTTCTACTTGCAAAACCTCACCTGTCACAGCAGGTGCCAGCTCCTACAACCTTGCTGATACCAATGAATCATTTTCTCCGTTGGGTCTGGTTCATTCCTCATTCTGTGTGGTTGAGCCCCACTCAGCTGAGACCCCATAGCAGGCAGCATGGGGTGAAGTGATTCAGCTCCCCCTCCCTCGGAGATGGCCCCACCTTGTCTCCCCTTCCAGCCTTTTGGGGTCCCACAGGAGGTCATAAAGTGGCTACTGTTTTCTTTAGGGAGACATACAGGATGCATGCCTGCAGACTCTCAATCTGCCTAGTAATGCCTTTACAGGGGCCCTTCTTCTTTCTTGCAGGGGTTTTGCTCAGGGACTGGTGAAGGATATTGCTCACAACTAGCTCCTTAAGGGGCAGCACAAAGTCTTAAAACTTCTCATGAGAGAGTGTCTCCTCTAACTCCTCTAAAGAGAATGAGAGCTCTCTCAAGCTGGGGCTCTGAGCAAGATGCCTTGGCCTCTCAACTAAGCTTCCCAGAATTAAGCATGCATTATGTTTTCAGAAAATGAAGTGCTGTACGCACCACCCACCGACCAGGCAAAGTTGAAGAGTTGTGTAATTCTTCTTCACTTGGATTTTGAAGGTTGGTTTTTAAGTGGAGTAGGAATTCCCTATCAAGAACTTCCTGTACCTAAATGTACTAAAATATCTTCATTGTTCTGCCTAAGGTTAAGCCTGCTGTGGCCTCTTAATAAAGAAGATAGTCACTAGAACCCATTGGTGACTTCATTCTTAATGTTATTTGATGTTAGGTCCAGAGAAGCTGGTCATCGGGGCAGATACTAGACCCCATATAGAGGGAACATATTTGGAGTCTGATGTGATTCTGGGGAGATTGAGGCCCAAGGAGGAGATGTGTAGTATAACCTGTCTCATACTATGGCCCCCAAGCTCAGACCTCCATTTTCAGCAGATGATTCTTAAGCATGATGTCTATACAACTACTATGAGGGCAGAAAACCTTCAGCACTGCTTAGAGAAAGTAGCCTTGTCCATGTCCTGGGCAGAAGCTCTATCTATTTCTCAGGATTCCCACACCAAAAAGAAAAGTCAGAGTCAGCTGGCTCAGCAAGACGTACCTAGAACTGAGGTAAGGCCGTCTAGATCAGCTAGCCTTTCGGCGCATCGCTGCCCGGGCTGGAAGCCTCGTAATGGAGCCGATGTCCGTCAAAACTCAATTAAGAAAACAAAAGGAAGTCCTGTGTGAGGAAGAGATGCTCAAAAGTGGACGCTATGGTCGCTTTGTCACATAGCTTTATCTTTACCTCAGTGGGCTAAAGGTGTCCTTTATGCTTTCTGCCGTGCAGCCAGTGAGAGTAAAGATGGTAAAGAAGATTATAAAGGAACAGGCCACTATGACTGTAGTCATCTTCTCATTAATCCTCAGATTTTGATTCTCAGACCTTCGTCAGAAGTAATTGGAACTTCCTCTCAAGCTCCTAATACACCCATACAAAACAGTACAACAGGGACCTATCCTGCACCAATATCTAGCGCTGCCTAAATTGTCAGCTGGGAAGCTGAGAGGAAGGAACTATAGTCACTCATTCTAAGAAGGTGATAAACACCTTCCTAGCATTTTGGAGGAAATTCACAAATGGGGTCTATCTAGATGTTGGTGATATAAGGGACACACACAAAGTCAAAGTCAGCTGAAGCAAAGGACAGTTTTGCATTTTTACAAGATGGCCTACCCATGGGGCTCAAGGCTATCAACTTTTGGAAAGACAAGTCAGGAACTGCAGGCATATTACACAATAAGAAACCCATAAGAATCTCTAGTCACTGGCACACAACCGATTACTGAGGGCTACCACTTTCATTGGCCCCATATGCAGATACATGTCATGAGTTTGATCTGTGGGTCATAAGTCCTAATAAAGTTACCTTACTCCATCAAGGTTGGTAGTTTTTGTCCTTTTCTCAGTGCAGGTAGCTTGTCTACTCATCACCGCCTTGCCAAAGGGGGTTTTGGAACTTGGTGTGTTCTTTATGAAACCTTGGTTACACATTCTGTCAAACATGGTAGTTTTGTGAACTAACCCAGCCTCCATCTCCGTCACCACAATCTTTCTCATATAATAAGTGGTATTGTTGCCCTTTGGATTGAAGGAAGGAGACATGCATCAGCTAGATGGAAACAGAGTCTACAAAGGAATAAAGGTGTATATAGAAGAGGCATTCAAAACCTCAGGTACGACACTCTCAGTACTATGTATTCTGTGAAAAGTGCAGCTGTTTTGTAAGCAGAGACATCACATGCATCTTATGAGGAGATCAGTAAGGCTGCTACAGGGCCTCTCCTCCATACTTTCTCAAATCCTATAGAACTGACGTCTTCACATCTGCTGGTGCAACATTTGGTAGAAAGGTGTTATGAAACAGGGTTCTCCAGTAACCACCAGGTACCTTTTCATTTCTACATAGGTAAACTGAATCATCCTCTCTCCCTAGGAATGACACTGATTGCTACATCCCAGTGTGAAGGAAATTTCATGACATGGAGAGGACTGAGAAAGGAAAAATTCTAACTTGTGAATTTTCATTCCAGGATACTGCCACGTCAAGCATGCTGACCCTCACTCAGAGGATTGCATTATGTTCGGGGGGGGGGGTTCCTAGCTACTGCTTGCTGGTTAAGTAGTTTGAAAGGGAAAAGGGTGTTCCTCTGAGGAATCCCTAAACTTCATGTCAAGGCTCTGCTACAAATGATTGGAATTGACTAGTACCTGTGAACCTTTATATAGCTAGTATTGGAAGCTATTGTTCTGAAAAGTTCTTCCTGAGGGGCAGTCCTATACTCAGGCTCAAAGGAAAGATCTGATCTGTCTCTGGTTGCCATGAAATGGGAGTGCCCCACCGTGAAAATTGTCTGCCATGGGAGAGCCTAGAATGAAAATTCACAGGTAAGAATTGGATTCCTAATTCACTTTGGAAGTTAATTAAAATTAATTAAGATAAACCAAATTAAGGCTACTTTAATTCTGATTGTGTGTGTCCATACAGGGATTTAATGCAGTTTAACTCATCTATATCTACATCTCAGTATCATCTACTCATCTACACCTTTAGTTAATTTGAGTTTAATTTTCCTGGGTACCCCGACGTAAACAAGTCCTAAGGAAGTTCTCCACTCAACCCCACTAAGCTTTATTGGAAGTTAAAGGTTTCGTGGAGTAAGGTTTCGTGGACATCCTTAACCTTGTAATTTTTTGACTGTTGGGTGTCTAGCTTTGCAACCGTAATGTTCTCTAAAAATAGTGGGGGGGGGGGTTGAGGCAGGTTGTTTGTTTAGTATGTGGATGAACTATGATATACTGATTACAGTGCTGTGGACACTGCAGTTCCTGGAAAAGGCCCTCATAATCGTGGGTGTGATAGCATGCACTCAACTCAACATTCATCTGTGTGATATTGCACTCATAAATTACAAAATCGCACTGATGAGAACTCTCCCACAGTGTTTGAAGAAGAGCCAGGAGCAGTCAAGGTCAAGCAGTCTAGTGCCTGTCAAGGATCTGATGCTGCAGAGACAGGATAAACTACACTGAATGAGAGGTAGGTTGAAGTGGCACTAAAATGATAACCGTCATAGGCATGGGGGAGGCTGGTTTGGAGGCAGTGAGCCAGAGTCTGTTTTTAGTTACACTAGTGTATATCCAGGGTAGTTCCATTGACTTCAGTGGTGTTCCTCAAGTTTTCACTGGTGGCATGATAGCAGAATGTAGCCCAGTTTGGGTACTGTTGGAAAGAGGCAGCCTCAGAAACTGAATGTTTTTTGGAGTAGCTGTAGGGGTTGCTGGCATTTTTTGAATGGGGGAGTTGGTAGTGATAATAATTGGGGACTTTGGTGGAAAGCAGGCAGAAACAGAAACCGCTTGGGGATAGCGTTTATAGTTGGGGAGGTCTCAGCAGGAGCTATCAAAGAGTATGGGGGCGGGGAGAATTGTCATAATCCAAGACTCTGGGGGAGGCAGGATCCACAGGGACTCATATCAGTGTATTATGTAAAATATAAAGCAGACCAATTGTGAATTACAGGGCTATAATTCCTGTTCTGAGTTCTGCTGATTACACAATCTACTTGAACTTCTCTCCCATGGTTTATGATGTCATCAGAACATCTTGATGGAATTATAGCCCTGTAATTCACAGCTGCTTGTTATTTATTACATGCACACGTATTTTTTATATTTAATAGCATGCCTCACACAGCTATTTTTTTCTTTTCTGCAGTGGTTTTCTCAACAGAGCATTATATGAAGCAGAAGAATTAAATATCACCGCCATGCTTGGGTTTATTTGCTAACCAAAATAACAAGCTTTTATAGAGCTTTATCATAGCAAGGCCACTGCTTTACAATAACATTAAAATGAAAAGCCATCTGGGGCAGCCGAGCTAATAATTATTTAAAATCATTTAAAAGCCAGTGAAAATAGATAATGTAAATGTAGATTTAAAACAAGGGGAAAGTAGGGACATGCCTTATGTCAGGCTAAGCCCAACCCTGAAAACCTTCTCATGTAAATAGCCCTGTTGAAGTCAACCAGTCGCATAAGGGATTGCAGGTTTGGGTCCTTATTTTGTTACAGTTAGAAGGTCAGGGTCTGGTGACTGTAGATGCAAATACATATTTTCTTGGCAACAGTTGCTACAAGTCTGACGTGAAATTTACAATGATTGATAAGTGTGGCTGAGAGGTTTTGAATGGTTTTGTTAACTTCTACACATTTGTACTCTACTTTGCCCAAAGCCTTGGTGTGTGGAACTACATGGGAGTCAATGGGATGGAACTCTGGGGCTGGGAGTGGTGCTTTGCAGTAGAATCTGTGTAACTCTGGTTCCAGAGACCCTTGCATTTGATGGCTTCTCTCCCCCAGCTTCTTGGAGCCCATCCGAGCAGTACACAGGGTAGGCAGAGATTCACCTGCATTGTCACATTGCCCATGCTCCACCCCTGCCCTTAGAGCTGAAACCACCATGGCTGCATCAAGTGCCAAAAGGCTTGAGTTTGGAGGCAGTTCTGAGGGCCTAATAAATCCTGAAACCCTGACATGAGGCAGTTATCCTGGCTGCATTTCTCACAAGTGGAGGAAGCCACATATGAGTTATTCGGGTCTCTCTATCTTTCATATGCAGGCATCAGAACTCGAGGTCCAGGTTCTGTAACCAGAGGAGGATCTCTGTATCAAGGGACGCTAGGCATTGTAGACCGCCCTCCAGATGTTGGGCTGGGCTCTCTTCCAGCACAATGAGTTGTTATAGGTGATGCTGCACCATAGTCACAACTTGGGGAGGACACCAGATATCCTGAGCTGCTGTCCCTGCACGGCTGCCCCAGACCAACAGCCTTGGTGCTAAAGGCTACAGACTCACAGCAACCACTCCCCAGGTCCTTGATTGGATGGACAGGCAGCACTTTCATCGGGTACCCGCACTATATATAGCGCCCAACAGGAAGAGGAAGTTGTCTGAGCAGCCGCCCATTGCTTGCTGCCTAGAGTGCCTTGCCCTGTTGCCTCACTGGCCCCAGTCTTGCTGCCTTGCCTAACCTCATCTCCCTAACTGCTGACCCAGCTTCTTGGATTGGATCTTCCGGCTTCTGATCCCTGTGAGAACTCTGATCATTGCCCCGGACTGCCTCTGATACGGATTGACCTGCTGGCTATCGGACCACCCTCACACACTTGACTGCTGCTCTGGACTGCCCCCTAGCCCACCCTGGGCATTACACCTGTTAAGCCTGGTCCAGGATCTACAATCAAGTGGACATGGAGGTGGGTGTAGCATTGGAGCCTGAATGTACTTAGTTTGTTAGACCAACAGTTCTCAAACTGTGGGTCAGGACCCCAAAGTGGGTTGTGACCCCACTTTAATTGGGTCGCCATGGCTGGTGTTTAAATTTGCTGCAGCCCAGGGCTGAAGCCAAAGTCTGAGCCCCACCTCCCAGGACTGAAGCCGAAGCCTGAAGCCCTCAAGCTTTGGCTTCGGCCCCACTCCAGGGTGGCGGGGCTCGGGCTTCAGTGCCTCTTCCTGGGGTCGTGTAGCAATTTTTTGTTGTCCGAAGAGAGTCGCAGTGCAATGAAGTTTGAGAAACCCTGTGTTAGACTATCTTTCCAACCACTGCTTCTACGCTATAGTGGCTCCTTGGTGCTGCATGGTAAAAGGTCAGAAGAAACTGTAGCAAAGGAGTGTCAAGAGATCAACTATGGTGACACAGCCTGGACTACAGGAGTAGGATTCCTCCCCTGAATACAACCAGGTCATCCCAGACAAATGCTTTTATATCATCATACACCAGCATGTATTCTATTTATGCCTCATTTTATTGTAGAGGTTATTTTAAATTGTTCTTAGAGCTGCATTGGCACACATTGGCATTATTTTTATATCCCTACATCTGTGTAGCCAAGTTGCCTTGGTTATCATCTACCAGGCCTCAGAATGATAGAAAAACTAGAATAAAATTAAAACCCCTCAAAAACAAAAACTTTATGCCACTGGAACATGGGGATTCCCATCTCCCTATTGAAATGCAGCACATATTTCTAGCCAGCAGATTTTAAATCTACCACTGGCTCAGCACTAAATATTACCTATCCTGGATCTTAGATCAGTGTAATTTTGGGTTAGGAAATTAAACACCTGGAAGGAAAGAAGAAAATACCTTTTGGCTAAATGAAATGGAAGCTGCTCAGAGGCTTAGGTGGTCAGAAATAGTGCCAGTGGCAATGAATTAGTAGACAGAGTGCAGGTGGGGAGATGGAAGGTACAACATAAACTTAGCTGATCACGTGGCTGCAGAAATACAGGGTTGATGATACTCGATAGTGGTAGTGAGTTTCTAATGACAGTCCCACTGCGCCATTCTGCAGCCCTTTGATTGTGATTTAGGAAAGTGTGCTTAACTTTAAACAAATACTTAAATTCTATCAACTTAAATGGGACTTAAGCATATGCTTAACTGCATTCTTAAACAAGGATGCTTGCTGAATCAGGGCCTTAGTCCCCACGCTGGCAAAACGCCTGTTAACTTCTCTGAGAGTTTTACCTGTGTAAAGACTGCAAGACTGGACCTAACAGCCCAGATACTGAATAGTCCATGAGAGTTACATTGATAGATCCCCATTCATTGGAAAGAGAAAATGCTCTCTGTTTAAATAACATATAGGGTTTGGCGTGAATTGACAAAAGCTAGGGAATTCTACATTGTTGCCAACACTTTGCTCTTTACCCACTCGTTTTGCTTTTTCCATCTATAATAGGACAAGTTAAAGAGGCTGTCAGCACTCACTTTGTTTTTCCTGACTTTTGTCAGTTGAAGTTAGACCTTTAATGCTGTTTAAACATAGTTTTCTGAAATCGTGGAGGAAAAACGATGCCATATGTCACATAAACCTGGATGTAAAAGATACAATAGTGTAATAATGGGGCTTCCAACCTGCCAGGATATCCTTGTAAAGGAGAATTGATTTTCTCAAGGATTCTTTACTGGGCAAAACAAATTAAACCTACCTTTAGTTCTATTTGTTTAAAGACCTCTTTGTTAAAATAAGAAAAGTGATATAGAGAGACATTCTAATAAATTAGAACAGGATAAATTATACCCGGAAGCTTTCTGAATACCTCCAGTTATGAGATACTTTATAATTGAAGAATACTGCTGAGGCCTCCCAGGAAGGGAGCCTGCAGATGTCTCTGAAACACTTCGATTGACTGTGGTTTATTTCAGCTGTGATTCTACAGCTGGTGTGTGATCCCTCTTTTTTCACCTTCCTTTTTGTCTTCATTTTTTTAACTTTTAACTTGATACGTCTTCTGACATGTAAAGGGGCTCTGAGTTAGACACACTGTCAAGTAGATTAGGCCCCATACTTGATTTTAAAAATAGGGTAATCTGCTCCAAAATGCTCCAGGATTTCTAATCAATCACTACAATCCGGATAATTTTTTTTTAAAAGCTAATATTTATTTAGGACACAGTGTGCACATTATGCTGGCCTAATTTATTATTGAGATGAGCAAACAAAGAAAAAATTCATGTTAATTTCAACGAGCATTACAAATGCATTAAAATAAATCTCATTATGACCAGATTCTCATCTGGTTTAAACTGACCATTGTAAAAGTTCATTGATTTTAATGGAGATATGACAACGTACATGATCTGATGATATGATCTACTTCTGTTTGTCAAAGGAAATCTCACCACCACGTAAGTGGGATTTTTTCTAGTGTTCTAATAGAGTATTAGAAAGAATAGAGTGAAAAAAGTTAAACATTGTCTCCTTAACAAAGAAGAATGAACACTGTAATGTATTTGTGTTTCTGTGCTGCGATCTACTGGTGTGGGTTGTTAAGCTATGATAGCATAAATATGGCTGACTGAACCAAAGTCACAGTGTAACTCACTAGTCAATGTGTATTATGTGTCCCTTTTCTGTGTGCAATGGGTCTGTTACAGCTCTTAGCTTGGGAGCCTGGTTCTTTAGTTCAAGCTATAGTGATTTATGAAAATATGGTGGTCATCGCAAAACTGCTCATCTGGGATTTCCACTGCTGTGAGACTCAGATCCTCAAGATGGACTTCCTCTGTCCCAGGGAAGTATGTAATCCACTGTTCAGTGCATGTGATGTGTCCTTCACTGTGCCTGATGCACAGAGGATTAGAATCTGTTACAATCTTGCCCAGAGAGCCTAGATCTTTATCTCAAGTTCTGAAGACTCATGCACTTAGTTCTGAATGCTCCCAGTTCAAGCCATGGTGTTTTTGCTTAGACAAGGATCAGCATACCTCTCAACCTCCCCACTTGAATGCAATGTGTGACAAAGACTCTAAAATGAGAGAGACAAAAAATTTACATGTGGTGGAAACTTACAACTCTGAGATTCATTCATCTAGTGTAAATAGCTCTTTATGTAATCTTAGTTTCATGATTCTTTCTGAGGAAATAATTTGCAATACTAAAAGTGCAGGGACACAAACTGTGAGGAATGTGGAGAACTCTGGGACTGAAACTGAGTGACATCCCTCGAAATAAGGGACATTTGAGAGGCCTGAGTCTCAGTATTTGAGTCACTAATATTAAATTGCCTTGAAATAGATAACAGAGCTGTTTCATTTGTAAGAAAATAGATGCCTCCTCTGCTGGAGGTTGTGTAAAAGTTCAGCCATAATAAACTTGCTCCTTTAAAAACTGTTGTCTGTGTCGAGAGCTCGAGCTCTGTAGCTTTGTTAAATGTTTGGCATTCATAATTTGTAGATGTTTAAAGCTCAGTAAGGAAAAATTTTGAAAAACAAACTGTTGAGTGCTGAAAGCACAGCACTAGAAACGTAATTATTGGGAAAGATAATTTTTACAAATTAAATCACTGCAATGCTCCATTGGGCCCAGAAGCATCTTCAGTTTACTTGATATAAGCTGACATTTTGTACATTTGGAGCCATATGAACATGCACTATAGGGCAGCAGTAATGGTATTAGTTCCTTAATTTCTGCATCGCATGCTCTGTTAAGTAATGGCTCATAAGAATAAAATAAATCCAGGACTTGCATAAAGATGATCAGATTGGAATAATAATTGTGTATAGGCTCAAACCCAGAGCTCAGTTCATGCCACAAGTAGCCAGCTGCATGCTCCTACTCCTATTGAAGTCACTGGGATTCCTTCTGTTGAGATCAGTGGGAGCTAGATCGGGTACTAGGTGTGGAGAGGGGAGGAAGAAATTGTTTCCTGCAAGATGCAGACCAGCTTGTCAGTTATTCCATGAAGAATTTGCTAGCTCAATGGCTGGAGTAGGCCAGTTGTCTCCCACTGTGAGATAGGACAGGATGATCTATCCCCAGTCTGCTCACATTTTGCCAACTATGAGCCCCATGAGTGTTCACTCCCTCCCTCCTGCAGCTCACCAAGCTCCATATTGCATAGTGGGAGATCATCTCCTTTGCACTCTCCCTACATTGAGCACTTTCCATTGCACAGCAGAGCACACTGGTTCCACTGGGTGGAGCCTTTGCAGTTATGGAGGTGAAGGCTGGATTTCTTTCAGAGTGCTTTTTCATCCAAGGATCTCAATATGTTTTCCGGATGATAGGCCTGATGCTGTGAATGTGTACTCTTGGATGTAGTGGTTACTGCCATGAGTGGTTTCCTGGATGTCTCAATGCAGACACTACTCATGGCAGAAAAGACTATGCAGGTTAGTGAGTGTTTGTTTGCAGGAGGGGCCTATGTGCCCAGCCTTGCAGCCTAATGGCACTGACTTTGGTAAGAGTTATGACAACCCAAAGATTGCAAGATTGGGACCATTCATTCTCACAGAAGGCCTGTGATATACATAAGTGTTTACTGTAATTTTACAGATGGATAAACTGAGGCCCAGAGGAGTGACTTGAGATCACATAGCAAGCTAATTGCAGATTTGGAACTAGAACCTAGCGTAGGCACCGAGTTCCCCTCTTTTCCCTGGGTGCTCAACCCCCACCTCTGCCCCCAGCCCTGCCCCCACTGCACCCCTTCCATGAGGCCCCCCCCCGCCCCAACTCTTCCTATCCCTTCCCTGCCCCCATTCCAAACCATTTCCCATAGTCCCCACCCCAACTCTGCCCCCTCCCTGCCCCTATTCCAACTCCTTCCCCAAATCCTCCACCCCTGAGCACGACATGTTCCCTCTCCCCCGCCTCCAGCCCCCTGGAGTGTGCTAAAACCGCCAAACAGCTGTTGGCGACGGCCAGGCAGGAAATGCGGGGAGATAGGTGGGAACGCGGCACGCTCAGGGCGCGGCACACTCAGGGCATGCCAGCCCCAGAGCACCCACGGAATTGGCACATATGGAACCCGGGAGTCAGGACTCCCTCTCCCCTGCTCTTGTTCCCGGACCACTCCCATCCCTAGTGTCTGAAGGGATTTATCCTGTTTGAGTGGCATGAAGGAATAGCTCATCTCAGAGAAACTTCAGCAAGGCTTAAAAAAAATGCTATCAGTGGAAAATATGTGTAAGCAGAGTCAGGATGAGCTCCACCCTGACATCTGGTGGTGAGGTATGGCAAGTTGTGGAAAAGAACTTCAGGGGCTGATCTCATTTGCACAGACACACTCACCCTGCCTGGCATGAGCCCATAGCTGCCCAAATGGTCACTTTGGCTGCTGTGGGATCCCCAGTTTCTCTGTTATTGGGGCAGGAAGAATAAATTATAATTATCCTGATTATGTGAATCAAGGACAGTGGCACTGTATTTGGCCTTTTGTTATGATGGAGGGACTCGCCATCAACTAAGTAGCACTCGCTAGGCAAGGGACATAGGTTCCAAAACTCAGTAAATTGAGAGAGGCTGGGGACAGGTATTAATATCTGGTGGTATGGGGCTGCTGATGAGGGCCTTACATGCTAATTGCACTTCCTCCTCTTTTCACTGTGGAATATCAGAGCTAATTTTGATTCCCCTAGGAGTCTAGTTACAGGCTGCTGAGCTGAATTCACTTTGGGCTAATGGTGCACCAGCACTGAGGCTCCCCTACTACAGGCTGAAATCACAAAAGAGCTAAACTTACTAAGAGCTGAAATCACTGAGTGTTGTGTTAAGTAGTGGGGGACCCTGAAGATATATTGCAGAGCAGTTTGCGGGACAGCTGGCAGAGCAGAGCGGCTCGTGGGACGGCTGGAGCGGCTCGTGGAATGGCTGGCAGACCAGAGTGGCTGGTGGAGCGGAACAGTTTGTAGGATGGCTGGAGCAGCTCATGGGGCATGGCTGTCAGAGAGGAGCGATTCATGGGACAGCTGGTGGAGCGGAGCGGAGCCCCATGAAGAGGTGGGGCAATCGGCTTTGGACCACATAAGGTGCCCCTTAAATCTCCCCCTCCCCCTCCCCCCATCTCCACCCTGGTTGGGAGGTAAAACTCTGCAGATAAACTTTTGAGCTCTGGTGCTGTGCTGCACTGACCAGGGACAGAGACTTTTGGGTTGTTGGACTTTTGGGACTTTGGGTTGCTGGACTCAAGAACCAAAGGGAAAGGACACGCCCCAGATTGCTTGGGGTGGGTTTTTTGCTCATGGGTTGTATTATGAATCCTGTTGGTGGTGTTTCCCCAACATAATGCCACATTGTTTCTCTCTGTTATTAAAAGGCTCTCGCTACACTCCGACCCTACTTGCGAGAGGGGAAGTATCGCCTCTTAGAGGCACCCAGCTACTGAACCTGGCCCTTGTTGCTGCCAACTCTGACGGGCAGAAGGATTACATATGTGCAGTAAAAACTACTGACCCTTACTAAATGAGCCTGAGAAATCTCACAAAGGGTAGATGAGAATTCTTGTAGGATAATTCATATTTAGACAGTGTGAATTACTTCAATGAATTAATTCAATATACAGCATTAACAAAACATGCAGCAGCTTTGAACCTTTGGCAGAATAAGACAAAAAGCTTGAGAGCAAACTAGCACTTTGCATTTCTCACATGGACTTCAGACTCTTTCCAATTTGCTTGGGCGTTTTTCCAGCAAAAGAAGCCCAGTGAGCTGTTCCTGTGAAAGGTGTAACTTCCGGTAGGGGGTGAGCCACAATGAGGTGCTGGTATGCTATAAAATGAATGGGGTTTGAAGGGTCCAAAATGACTCCAGGACCACATCTGGTCATGCATGCTTAGTCATTTATATATGGTACATTTACCTTATGTAGTAGTACATTTGTACTGGGTCTGTTCATGTTTAAAAAGGATTGTGGGCTGAATGTTTAACCTCACTGACACCGGGGCGACTTTATTGCTTTCAGTAGGGTTACACAGGTACTGGTAATGAGAGAACTTGCCCTTGGGTTTGCATAAGTATCCAAACAGAATCTGCTTTGTAGAAATATGAAACAAAGCAGAAAAAGCAGGGTTTTTTCCTGTCAACATGACTTCATATCACTGGTAACATCACAGAAACAATATGCATATTTATCCTCTCCTAGGCTTGGGCACAGCTGTCTTGCAAAATATATCAGTGAAACAGACAATGACACAACAACAAACCTGTGAAACAAAACTTTAAAAAGAAGCAACATTAATTATATTCCTCACAAACGAACACATTGAAAGTCAGGCAGAAGCCTGGATAGTCAGGATTAAGAATTCTCACTCCCACGAGGTGTAGATATTGCTGTGGTTGTCTTTAATATTATGTGTGATTATTAGAATGTGATTCTACACGATATTATGTGCCTTTATGTACTGCAATACCCAGAAGCACAATAGTCTCAGATAAAAGAAGATAAAATCCTCAAGAGGCTTCCAGAATGGGGCAAAAGAAAATAGAACATTTATCCAAGAAGCAATTAACTTGGTTAGTAATTTTGGGTATCCGATATTTATTTTTGAAGATATGTTTCTGAATAAAAGCTTTTTTTCCTCATAACTCATCTACTTCTCCTAGCTGAGCCTGTAGTGAAAACATAATCCTGTGTAGCAGAACCTCACTAATGATTGGGAGACCTATTGTGGATTACTGAATTTTGTGAATTAGCAAGTGCTGTAAGTGAACACAATAAAAAATAAATCAGGGATGCTGCGTTGCAAAATGAGCTTTATTCATTTATTTCTGACAAGTCTGGCTTAGTTTTAATTATTTATAATACTTCACAGCACACTAGTAAATGTGCTGCAGCATATTTTGTAAGCGTAACAAAGTCACTGTAATAAGAGACCATGCTAAAGCTCTCATCTGTCACATCTTTCCTGAAGTGGGAAATGTCCAAGGTAACAATAAATAGTTTTTTGGAGTAGCTAAGTGAGAGTTTGTGAGATTCTACTGGCTTGATGTGCTTGTGGCCATGGGAATCATAGCTCTGCCATAAATGCAGGGGACTGGACTAGATGACCTCTCAAGGTCCCTTCCAGTCCTACAATTCTAAGTATTATCTAGACCATCCTTGACAGGTGCTTGTCTAACCTGCTCTTAAAAATCTCCGGTGATGGAGAAGGATTGCAATGTCAAATTCAGCAATCTGGGCACTTTGTTTCCCTCCATTGTGCAGTCTGGTGGGGAAGATGACCATGCAGAATTTTCCTTCCCACAATTTAGCTGCCACCAGCCCCACCCATCCACATCAATGTGTCATAGGAAGCACCTGAGAAAAGGGATTGACCTGGAGAAGGCAGAAGGAGTCAGGGTCACATGGGTGCGGCTAGTAGAGGAGAAACC